ATGTCGAAACTCCAATGAGTTAAAGAGTGCCTTTTAATCAACAATATTTTGTGAAAAAACAATTATATAATGTCAAATAAGTCATCATTATCATCATAAAGGGCCAAGTAGTTACAATTTGTTACAATTTATTAAATGTATCAACCTGTAACACACTATTCATGAAACATGTGTTCCCTAAATTTTGTAACCCAATTCTCTTACGCGATCTTGTAGGTTTTGTAGTAGATTTATATGTTGTTTCTATAAAGGCATGATTTGAAATAATTTAGATAACTTGGCAACGTAAACAAGAATAAAAAGTACATCATACATCAGTAAAGAATTTACCTGCAATCTTTATGTTTTTATTCCAATTATATTCTTGCAAAATAGACCTGATTTCGCTTGATTCTAATTTTGGCTAATGAATTTGAATATGAATTTGAATATGAATATTAGTAAATATATCAATACAACGTAAATAAATATATATAAATACAACGTAAATAAAATTTAATATTTAAATAGAATACCATTTCCAGACTTTCTAATTTCTGTTTAAGAGGTGCATATTGATTTGGATTTGCAGGAAAACGGGGCATTAAACATTGAGCAATGCGAGAAAGCTTACGCAACTCGTTAACTTGATCACCCTATTTTTAAATAAATTTAACAAACATTAATAATAACATTAATAATTGTATATATTAATAATTGTATTGAATTATTAAATCTTTGCGTACCTCTTGAGATATAATTTCCAACACTTCTGGGTATATTGGAACAACTAGCATAAAAACGTCAGGCGCAATTTGGTAACCAAGAAGCATATATTCGACAACCAATAAAGCCTCGTCACGTGATTTTCTGTCCCGTAAATGGTTGAAAACTAATATATATAGATAATTTATTAGTTCTATTTTATTATAGTTAAAGGAATTATTACTATTAACGATAATTATTCTACTTACTTTTGGTAATATTGTTACGCGTGATTCGAAATAAAAGATCATGACCTTTGACAGTTTCCAAAGCTTTCATTAATCCAACGATCCAATGCCCTAAAAACATGATGAAAATTTAAATAAATAAAGGGTTAATAATGAAGAATTGATAACGTTTAAATTTAAAATCTTTTATAGAAATTAAACCAACCCATATTTTTAGCAAATGAATGTGGTATCATTTCAATCATATGCCGTATACTTAATTCGAAACGCGAAATATCTTCACGAAAATTCTTTTGAATATACGGTGAAATAACTAACAAATTTTCAATACAAAACATTAATGAATCATTAGTGAATCATTAGTGAGTCATTAGTAAACGTTCGATAAGCGTAATTCTTATTATAGAGAATTATAATTTTCATTATAGAGAATTAATTATTTCATTTACCAGACAAATGATCCAATGGTATTCTACTAATAAGTAATGCAATTGCAAATGAATGTGACGCAGCTGTTGAGAGTCTTATGAATATTTCTCGAATTGTGAAATTTATTAACTCTACACTAATAAATAAAAATAAATAAAAATAAATAAAAATAAATAAAAATAAATAAAAATAAATAAAAATAAATAAAACTAATAAGTACACTTTTGGAAAAATAAACTTTTTTTTGATTAAAGTAATTAGGTAACAAATCGCCTAACCTTTCTTTCCACATTGATTCGATCAAATCTACTGATTTCTCTACGTATTCACGGTAAGTTACGTCTATTGATTCATTAGGTACCATACTTAACGCATGTATAAGAGACTTTATTATAAAAAGATACAAAAGTTAATATTAAAAAATCTATATATATATAACACAAAATATATAAATCAAAGTTATTTTCTTGTATGTACTTACCTGTATGACCAGATTTCGATCCGAAGGAATAGACTTTGGTAGATCACAAAACATAGATATGAATATTGTATGTAAATCATATCTCCCTTTCCATTGAAAAAAATATTTTTCGGCATATTTCCGTAACATTTGACAATCATTTTCAATACATTCTATATATTGGTCATCTGCCATCTCTAAAACAGCAAAAAAAATCAATATCCTTTGCTCTGTTATCTATTTTATTATTACTTTTATTATTTTAAATACCATTTTTGTATTTGATCACTTTTGTTATCGCTCTTAGAAGTTTATATATGTCTCGAACCTAGAACAAATCGTAGAACAAATCATAGAACAAATCATAGAACAAATCAAAGATTATTTTCATATTTATTCACTTGAATAGTAGATATATATATTTAAAACATACATTTGCACCAACTTGTTCGAGGCTATGTTTCAAGTCGTCTGAATTAAAATATTCCAT